TATAATTTTTAATACCGTTCATGTGATTCCTTTGTGTAATTTATATTGCGATATCTAAACATTAATTTTCTTAATTACAATTTTACTTCTTAGCAATAAAGTCACATTTTTTATTATTTAGTTAAATAGATATTGGATATAATTATTACAATAAATTTATAATATACAAAGAAAGTCATTTAATATCTTTATTTAAAGTTCGTAAAATAATTTTTATTTTTAAGCAATGACACTTTCTATTTAAAAAAACCTGGTTACTCTAATATTTCTCACAGATTTTTTTCAGATATTTTGTGTTTTATTATATCTTACTGGTTCCTTTCCTTCATTCAATTCATTAGTATATACATACACCCCATTCTTCCAATTTAGTTCGAACAACCGATTTAGCATCTTATCTTTCAACTGAACCTTCAGACAGAGGGATGTTTGAATCCACCAAGATTGGAAAACCGATTGTCCCAACCATCATACTGACTATTTGTCTTATCTTCGATATGGTATTTTTATACACATTTCATGTTTCAGATGGATATCTTGACTGAATATGGATTGAGATATATAATTATTCTTTTAATAAGAGGCATAATTTTTATCATAAGCCAAAATATCGTTCTCAAGTTTTGACTACAGCCATCGAGGATAGAATTTCTGGTGCGCAATATTTTTAATCACCTTAAAATCTATAAATCTTGCAAATTGTAAATGATTAGGAACTAATAGATGATGAATAGATTTAAAAATTCAAATTTAATTGATTATGTTGATAGCATTAGGCCCTCTCAAAATTTTAAATTTTTTTATACTATTCGCGAAAAAACCGATCAGCCCAAGGAATCCCTCTTCTTACGCCAAAGACTTGCTACCGCCATTATTCGCTCTAACTATCTACGTTTTCACTTCCATTGAATAACCCTCCATATTCCTAGCTTCCTTTTTTTATCCCCCCCCCACCCCCGTAAATTCTATTCCTACATTTTTCACCTTTATTTATTTATTTTTTTTAAAAAAATTAATTATTTGCTACTACATTTTGACAACATATCATATCAGCAAATATTCAAATAAAGTAACCCATGACCGGAAAAAAAATATATAATTTTGATAATGTTAGCTAAAAATAAGTAATTTTGGATAATGTTAGCATAAAAAAGAATTTTGAAAATAATTTAAAAAAATTTTTTAAGCCCCTGAGATTGTTATGGCTAGTGACGCCCCTGCTTTAAATTATCCGTTATTGATAAATATTTAAATGTAATGCATAATATTTATTTGAAAATATAAATTAGAGAATAAACAAAATGAGTTTAAGATATATTTCCTAATTATATTTATAAAAAGATGTGGCGCGAGCCATGTCGAACCTAGAAAATTTTCTACGGGGCTTCGCGCAAGCTTGGGCCGAAAAAGAATAGATTATACAGGTCTATATATATAAATTATAGCAATCATAAAAAATAAATACAATAAACAAAACTAACAAAAATAAATTTTACCCAAAATGGCACAATTTAAAATATCTAGCAGCAATGTCGTTACTAGATGGGAGGGCAGATGGGCTCAATTTCTCTAAAATCTTTGGTGAATGCATTAAAAAATTCTTTTCTTTGAGAATTTTAGATAGAAACTTATTTTCGATGTTTTTAAAGATAAGACCCCTCGGATAGAAAAGCTCGCGACATTGATATTTAGATGTAACTGTTAGTTAAGATTACCACCCACCTAATAAGATTAAAATTTACAATTTATAGAAATTCGACCTTTAAAATCTGAGACCTTAATTGTTACTTGGTTACGTTCCAAGTGCTAATTGAAATTTTAATTAATTATTCATTTACCTTAATTCCTGTATAATATTTTTATAAGCGTGGGATAAATTTTATATTAAAGATCAGTCGATAATATTATTATTTCACAAAACTTTGTAAAATCAAATATAATACTAATTAATATATATTACCTATTTAAATATTAACCGTAACCAATATCAATTCATTAATAAACCCGTTATCATATTATATTTGAAATGGCCAGCTTTATTTCATTAACAATGCGAACAAATAAATATAAAATACTGAAAATAGGCGAAATAATAATGTAGCGTTTAAGATTTTCGGTGACCCGGGGGTAAGGGGGGAGGGGAATAAATCTCCAAACCCTTAAAAAATTGCAAGTTACTTAAGCCTTAGAGGAAAGGATATCCGAATCATTGGCATAAAGGGGATGTCGAAATTGCAGAAAATGGAAATTTATATAGTAAAAAAAAAAGAAAATCAAACTATTACACAAGAAGTAGAATTTAGTGGCCCCTAAAACTATTTTAGAATTGCATCCAATTTAAGTTCTGACTCTTTGTCCTGAAGCATAAGATTTATTTGGACCTTTTGATATTTCGGACAAGGACAATAACATTAAATAATTACGAACCGGTTTCCAAAAATTTGTACCGTGCACTGCACGCCAATAAAGAGTTGACCATCGTTATAATTTTTATTAATTGTCCTGCCCGTAAATTAAAATATTTGCCTGGTAATTTCCCAGTCAATTATATTTGCACTAAGATTTTAAGAAAAAATAGAAACGTTTGTGACACAAGGCTTGTTATAATTTTTCCAAGGATAATTGCGGCTAGGGGATGGGGGTCTTTGTCACACAGATGTAATATGTTTAACAATAAATTTCTGTAAGTTAGCTAATAACTTAATGCGAAGTTGTAAACAAAACAAACTTATTTTATCAGAATATTTTAATAATGTTATTGTTATAAAAGTCAATAACTTTACTACTTGCAAGAACAGCATATTATTTTTTTAATTGTATTTTTTTAACTTTCATAAAATTTTACAAAATATTTCCATTTTAGGTAATGAATTGAATAGACCTTGTTAAATTAGAATTGAATACGGAATACCCGATATGTTCCAAACGATTACTAATATACTATGTTGTTTTATTCGGCTCGATCTATGAATAAAAGGAATATATGATGACTTGATTTATTTTTTAATTTATATTTCAATTTTATAAATTACCCTTATTTCCAATATACATTACATTATTATCTAAATTTGATCGCAATATAATACCGATTGATTATATGAAATATATGCTTCAGCAATCCTAAAAAAATAATTTTATAAATGAATAAAAAACTAATTAGACTTGCTCAAACTTGAAAAAATCAGAGCAATTTTTTCACCTTGTAAAGGACCTGTGCGTTATGGGGAGATATCCTAATGACATATAATAAAAATGATAGCGTCGAGTACCAACGTTCATTGCCGAAATCTGAAAGTGCAACACAAATGAAAATTTTGTCTTCAGTGATTATAATTTTTTTTTAAAGACGTTATACATTACTTAGGAACCTGCAAAAAAGCTTTAGTCAGGTTTGGATCGTAGTTATTACAATAATACGGTATTCCATAGAAAAAACCTCATATTTAAAGTACTGACAAATAATTCTTGACAACTTGACATTTTAAAAATTTTTACTGTCCTCTGTTAATAGTGTAAATATAATATTTCTTCATTCTTCATTGTCTTACAAAAAAGTATTTAAAGGAATTTAACCCATCCAATAAAAAATAATAATTTGGGAGAGAGAAAATCGGGGCTGGGCTATCGAATCATTTTTTTATAAAATCATTAATGAAACTATATTATGACAGTAAAAGAACACCGATTGATGATAATAGGATATAAAATAGTAAGCTCATTGTTTCTTAAATAAAGGAATAACCCTTAATTCATAGTTATCACGAATTTACTGTGAAGAATACAAAAATACAGCATATTTTGTATATTCTTGATCTGAATATTTTTTATTTTAAAAAATATCTCTAGTTCCTAAAATTTCAACAATTAAGTTCCGATTCTTAAATTTGAAGGAAGCAGTTCTGAGGGTTTCATATTCTAGTTTCAAAAGAGGTCTGCAATGAGCTGAATTTTAACCAGCCCGCTCATGGTTTTAAAAATGCCTACTTGCCTATTAAAATTTGTTTAACCTGCCCACTCAACGTTTACACATCATTCCGCTCCCTCCCCACAAACCCACGAATGGAATTAATCTAGCTCGTTATTGACTTCTATTCATTTTTTTGAAATGTTGAAAGAAAATTTTACGAATTTAATAGGATATTTATTAAGCCTAATCATTCGAAAGGTGAAAACCCCACGCATCCCCCTATCCCCATGTAATGTACTAGGTTAGTAATTTTTAAATAGAATTCATGAACAGCAGCATAGAATTTGAAATAGGTAGCCATATATAAAATAAATGACTGAATTAGGTAATTATGAGCAGAATTGTTAAATTAAAATTCACCTAAAACGCAAAAAAAAATTTGCCAGAAAATTTTATGTTAAAAAATTTATGGAATAAAAATGCAGTGTCGAATAATAAAAACATATAATAATATAATAAATATAAATTAGACAATATCTCGGTAACATTAACTAGCGGTATGGCTGACGAAGATCTAATTTGTTCAGCAAACCTATATTTAATTTACGAACGCCTAAAACGTTCCATATTTAAATTAAAAAAAAAAATTTTCATAGCGTCGGGTGAAAATTATAGTGTTCTATATCCATTTATTTAAATTGTTTAGGAAAGCATTTAAATAAAAATAGATATTTCTTGCGTTTTAAATAGGAGGCCACATGTAATAGTGCAATAAAGGATTATTTTCAATTATATTTTAACATTTTCAATGTGGACATTTAAGAATGTAGTATTGAAGAATTCATTTATACAAAAAAAGCATTTTGGCAAAAAAAGTGGATATAGAAGACCATAACACTCAGTCGACGATATCTAAATACTAAAAAAATGACTAATTTGCATTCGAGATTTTTGATAAGAATATTAAATGAATATAAATTAAATGATAGAATAGATTAAAAAAATTTCACTTATTCTTAATTCATAATTAAATTAAAATTTGAGCAAAATATATCCATGCATAAAATGATTTTTAAATAAATAAAAAATTTACCTGTTTTAAAAACGAATTTTTTGTATTTTATGATTATAGGAAATTCATCATTCATTTCACCAGTAATTGAATTGATACATTTTAAATAATTATTTTATAACTAATCTTAATTGTTTTTTTTCCCATTATCGATATCTGATTCTGATTTTATTTTTCAAATAAAGGAGAATTTATCCATTAACATTTTTTTTAATTAATTTTTTTATAAAATATAAAAATATTATACACTTTTCATTATACATTTTTTTTCTTATAATTGAGTAAAATGATTTGATATTTATTCAAATTCTTTTATTTTTGTCTTTGTTAAAAAATATTTAATTATTTTATTTTTTTTCCAATAAATAATTTATATTATTCTCTTTTCTCTCTTGTATTGGCTTGACTTATAATAAATTCTTGTTAAATATTAACTATAAAATATAAATGTAAACACATAAACTACGCAAATATAAAAACGTAAATTATTTAAAAAATTGTGTAAAGTTAATAATTGAAATACTAACTACAATAAAATTAAAGTTATGGTAAATTAATTAAGTTTTTTTTTATATCACATAAAATTGTGAAAAATTTAAATTTCAAATATTTTAAGATTCCAATTATAATTTTACTATGTTTTTTAAGAAATTTTTATTATTTACCATATTCTTCTAAAAGCCTTGTGCCTTTTTATATAACAAAAAAAAATTCTAATATCTTTCCCTATCAAACAAACATATTTTTAAAAAATAAATTTTCAAATAAGAAAAAATCGATATATATTTTTTTTGTTTTATATTTTGTTATTTTATAAATAAAATCAGAATTTTATCTTCAAAATAATTGTCAATGTAAAAATCGCCCGCTGTAATGTAAGGTGGAAAATTATACGTGTATTTAATTTGTTGAATGGGGGAAAGGAGTGGGGGGGGGGAATTATTTTTTGCAGGAAACATTTTTCAAAAATCTTAAATTTCTTAAAGATTTTGCATGATCAAACATTGTTGTTAAACGGCTCAATTTGTTGAGTCGAATTTTTAAAACGGTTAACTCAATATTTTGTTTTGGAAAATTATACGCAAGCCTAAAGATTTTGGACATAGATGAAGCAAAGGTTTGGATATCTATTAGCGGAATCTCGCAGTTTAGGCAATATTTTTCTGATTAAAATATGATTTAACCGTTTTTTTAATCGGCTCAAATTGACCCCACTAATCAAATGGAATTCAGCACGGATCCGTGGATACTTTATAACTTTCTTCCGATATCAAATCATTCAATCATCTAAAGTTTTATATATTTTAGTTTCCAAATTTTGAACTTAAAAAAAATCAATTTTCATAAAATATATTTTAAAAAAAAGGATCCTTTTGTTATTTTATAAAAATCTGAAGAAAATTTATGTTCGATGCAAAATTAATAATATAAAAATAAATTAAATATAGCGTAAATTTAATAAAACAATAATAATAAATATATTTATAATCAAAATTAGCCTTTAATAATTAAAAAATTTCCAAATTTTTATCAATCATTCAAACATCACAGCTTTCATTACCAACATGTTTACCTTTACTAAATAAGCGCTTGATGGCAAAGGTGTGTTATATTCAATAAATATATATTTTTTATAATTTATATATGTATTAAAAATATTAATTGAATCATCATTTGAAATAAAAATAATTATTAAGGGAAAACGCGTTTTGAAGAAATTTTCCCAGACAGAGAAAGTAAAATTTCATCAATACAATCATTTGAATAGGCTTCTACATGTAGTGGTTGATTTTGCCGGTTTTTTCAAATAAGAAATTGACCGTTCTTTTATGGGGCAAATCTTGCAGCTAATATGCTACTATCCTCATATCATAGAGTGAAGGAAATCTATATTAATACGGAGCTGAGGAAAAGGTCAAAGGTTCTCATTTATATCTGTCACTTCAATATCTATATGACATTAGTAAATGCTTAAAAAAATTCGTTTTGTTTATAATTCAGTAAATAATACTCATAGACTGTAAATCAAATTCGTAAATGTGGTTTTGATAAAATTTATGAGAAATATAAAATATGGCGGATGATACTAAATTATGATGGTGCTAGATTTTTTAAAAAAATTTTTAATTTATATTTAAAAATATTTTATTTATTTACTTATTTGAGTAAAAAAATAAATTTTTAAAAGGATCGAATATTATACAAAATGATCACTATCCTCAATTTAAGAAAAAATGATCAGGTATATTTCTAAAATAAAGATCGAATCCAGGATCGTCGATCTTTTGATATCGATCCTTTGACAACTCGGAAATAACTTTATAATATATTATTTTTTAAAAATATCAAAAATTGACCAGTATAGATAAAATTTGGTAAAATTATTACAACTCATCTGTTTTTTTGTATATCGCCTTTATAAAGTGGTATATATTATTTATTTTTTTCACATGCATTTTTATTTAGGATTATTAAACGGTTCGATTTTTAAAAACGGCTAACACACTATTTTAGCAAAAAATATACGCAAGCCTCGAGATTTTGCTCATAGATGGCAGAACGGTTCGAATTTGAACATCAATTTAACGAAATCTTGAGGCATGTTTATTATTATTTTGACATAAATCTTAATTTATAATTGGGTAAATCGGGCCGTTTAACAACACTATCTTTATTTATTTCCTTAAAATCGATAAGTGTTAGTTAATAAAATAAGTAAATAAATATTATAAGACGTGTGTTTTTAGTGATTTTTTTATAAAGGGTATTGGTCAGAAAAAAATCCTGGATAATAAAGTTTTCTTTTTAAAATTAACATGTCAATATTTGTGAGGAATTGAATAATTGAAATAAAGATGTATTGAAATCTGAAGGAAATTTAAAGAAATAAAACTATATATACCTACCAAAATTTAATTTTCTTGATGACCTGTAATATAGTATTAATGAATTTTAATTTTAAAACAAATATATTTCGAATTTTATAATTTATGAATAATGAGAGTTGAAATTTTTTTATATTTATTATCAGAATATTTTGAAAATTCTTAACAATTAACTAGATATTGGCTAGTTCCAAGCGTATATCATATCATATACATTAATTTATTATTATGATCAGAGACATTCATGCTTTTTCTGTTACCCTTTTCTGGTGCGCTAATAATGTTTGATTCAACATTTTTTTAATGTGAATATATATCTTAGACAATTAATTTGGTATCATGTGTGCAATTAAATTATAATAAATGAATAGGATTTATTCTTTTTTTAACTACAGTTCACTTAAAACTTACAAAAAAAATGTGCAAAATTTTGATTTGGGTAAATATAAATATTTAAAAAGATTTGGCCTCTAAACTCACCTCCTATCCCCTTAGTTTCAATCCGATTACTATAATAATATTTCCAATTTGGCAAAGGTTTTTAGGCGCCCTTGAGGCATAATAAATACGAGACCGTGGCATATGAAATGGATTTTATAAAATAGAATTGAGAAACATTGACCAAAATAGGAACATCATTTAAAAAGGCAGTCCGTTAATCGTTAATTCTTAAAGGATGGTATTTAAGTTTAAATGGCCATGAGATTACATCTAAAGAGATAGCAGCTCTTTCCAATTGAATAAGGATTGGAGGAGCAATTATAATAAAATTGTAATCAATGTTGCATACAAATAAATGAAAAAGGATCTCAAAAATTATAATACTCTCTTTAAATTCATACTTCTTGATAAAATCTCCTCGTGTAGCAAAATTGGAATACGATTAAGACAGGGGTTGTTTATTTTATGCAAATATTAATTAAAATATCAGATATAAAAAATTTGTGAATCTTGACATCATATTGTCCTGATGTTGCACACTTTTCAGAAACCTGTGAAATATCGTACAATTACTCTTTTAAAGAAATTTGAAGTAGATCGAAGAATTAGGTCTAAATTGTCCCTAAAATTATTATTCTGACGCCAACCTAACAAAATTATCAGTATTCTCATACTGATGGAAAAAATATTATAAATATAATCTGCCATAAAAATTAAAGTAAAAAATAACGAACCACTATTAACGTCTTATACCATTTTTTTTAATTTTAGAACACGATTTATAAATAAAAATCGTTGCATTTGACACTTTCTTAAAGCCATATCTTCATTATTAAATAATTTTATGGAATAAAATTTGATAATATGTTGACATAATTTTTCAATTGATAAATAATTTCTTACCCATATGTGGAAAATCAACGTGATTTTTAGCTAGCATTAATGTATAAATTTAATCTCTAAACAATGACATATTATATGTCAATGTTATGGTTAAAATAAAAAATAATCCCATGATATGTCCAAAAATTTGAATTTAACTCATATAAATATAATTAAATGAATCGAGTAAAAATGATACATATTATAGGTAAATTAAATTAAGTGTTGGCGGGTTTAATTTTTAAAAAATTAAAAAATTGTCGGGACTTTTAAGACAAGGCCAAGACCATTATTTTGATCTTACAGATCCCGAAAAGTTTTGGACATGAGAATGATCAAATGAAGATTGGTTGTAAATGAATATAAATTATATTATTAGATGTTTAATAAAATTAGAAATTTTTCTTAATCAAAAACAAAAATTATTTATATAGCTTAGCGAAAAATTCTTATAGATAAAAGATGGACATATTTTATTGCAAAATTTTATACAATAAAATTAATATTGAATGAAAACATAAATAAATCTTAAACTAAATTTGTATTTTAAGTAATAAAACAATGAATTATGAATTATGAATAATTATAAATATAAATATAAATAGTATATAAAACTTTTAAATTGGATTTCGGATTTATCGCATAAAGTAAATTTATCATCTCAATATGGATAAATAGAAGTGTAGAATAAACATCGCCATATATTATTGGCTTATGAATTAATTGAAATACTAAGAAAAATATTTTTATAAATAATTTTAAATTAACAAAATGAAAAAAATTGTTTACAAGCATAAAAACAGGTATATAAATGTTATACGAAGGCAAAGCTTAATAAATGATTAAACCACTTCATGTGAAGTCTCATTTATTTCCAAATCTTAAAAGGGTGCTATCTAGGAGATTCGATGGTAGATAAACGAAAACACAATTTGGCATATGAGACATCAGAGAAAAATTACAGGAGGCCTTAAATTCGATTATTTTATAAGTTTAAAGATAAAACTCATAAT